TGTAAAAGCGTCTGTGTGTAAAAGCGTTTGTGTGTAAAAGCGTCTGTGTCTAAAAGAGTCTGTGTGTAAAAGCGTCTGTGTGTAAAAGCTTCTGTGTGTAAAAGCTTCTGTGTGTAAAGGCGGCTGTGTGTAAAAGCGTCTGTGTGTAAAAGCGTCTGTGTGTAAAAGCGTCTGTGTGTCAAAGTGTTTGTGTGTAAAAGTGTCTGTGTGTAAAAGTGTCTGTGTGTAAAGGCGTTTGTGTGTAAACGCATCTGTGCGTAAAAGCGTCTGTGTGTAAAAGTGTCTGTGTGTACAAGCGTCTGTGTGTAAAAGTGTTAGTGCGTAAAAGCGCCTGTGTGTAAAAGTGGCTGTGTGTAAACGCGTCTGTGTGTAAAAGCGTCTGTGTGTAAACGCGTCTGTGTGTAAAGCCGTCAGGGTGTAAAAGAGTCTGTTGTGTAAAATCTTCTGTGTGTAAAAGCGGCTGTGTGTAAAAGCGTCTGTGTGTAAAAGCGTCTGTGTGTAAACGCGTCTGTGTGTAAAAGCGTCTGTGTGTAAACGCGTCTGTGTGTAAAGCCGTCAGTGTGTAAAAGAGTCTTTTGTGTAAAAGCGTCTGTGTGTAAAAGCGTCTGTGTGTAAAAGCTTCTGTGTGTAAAAGCTTCTGTGTGTAAAGGCGGCTGTGTGTAAAAGCGTCTGTGTGTAAAAGCGTCTGTGTGTAAAAGCGTCTGTGTGTCAAAGTGTTTGTGTGTAAAAGTGTCTGTGTGTAAAAGTGTCTGTGTGTAAAGGCGTTTGTGTGTAAACGCATCTGTGCGTAAAAGCGTCTGTGTGTAAAAGAGTCTGTGTGTAAAAGTGCCTGTGTGTGGAAGCGTCTGTGTGTAAAAGCGTCTGTGTGTAAACGCGTCTGTGTGTAAAAGCTTCTGTGTGTAAAAGCTTTTGTGTGTAAAAGCGTCTGTGTGTAAAAGCTTCTGTGTGTAAAACTGTTTGCGATGCAAACTATTGTCTTGTACTTGTGCTATATTGTCTTGATACTCCTCTTCTCGGCTGCCTATAACACATCTTTAATATATTGTTTTGTAAAATGGTGCCTCCATACTAACAAGAGAAGACCCTGCTCCGTTACGCTCTCGGGCCATCCGTCGTCTAGTTCTTGTGATTTATGGGATTATAATGAACCATTTTGACGCACTTACTGAGTTGTGAGTGGGAAAAAGCACTCTTCAACTTTTATAGCCAACATTAACCAACTATAACCAACTAAGAATTTGGTAGATGATGGTAGAGGATTTCACAAGCGAAAACTGGGATGGATCGGTGATTTGTAGGTACTTCACCATTTAAAACCCCGTTTGGGATGGGATCAAGCTAAAACCTGATGGTTTGGAAGCTTCTTTGTTCATCAAAATTCAGGGGTTTTCCTCATTTGGGGACACACATGGACTTTTGCCACTAACTTGAGAAGCATTCACCAAAAAGAGGATGAGTGTTATATGTGAGCGGTTTTATGATATCATTATCTTCATCTGTTTGACACTCCAATTGAAGCAGGTCGTACACGAATCAAAGTTTGAGTTCAGGAGAAGTCTGGTTTTCAGGCGACCTTTTCGGGAAGTGGCTTGAAAAGGTGTTGAAAACCAAACAGAAAAACCGTAGTTAGAGCGGAAACAGTAGTCCTCTTGAAATCCTACCTGCAGCAGTATGTTTGTTAAACCCTGTGTTCCATGATGAACTTATCATTCTTTGAAATGGTTATCAACAACCATAAATCAACCACAATTGATAACTTTGATATGTATGGCCTGTGTCCCATGGGCCCTTTGTCTTTGTACGCCATATTTTGCTGGTACAGCTGCATATCTATCTCCTCAGATGATTCTATGGTTACAATAGGGCTCCCTGACCTTGAAGTTGCTCCCCGAAGCACATCCAACTGTAGATGAACACCCACCATAAATCCCATAGTTCTTGGAATTGTAAACCAATTTAGCCATCACAAATTACCTCTAAATCCACATGTTCAATGGGGACCCCCCCATTTTTTGTTCAATAATACCAGTCGTCGAGAAATGCAAGGTTTATGGCAAGACCAATGTGCCCGAATTTGCCGCATCGCTGGTAACGTGTTGCCTGGCAGTGGCAAAGATGCACAACACATGGTATATATAAAAGCCTTGATGGGGATATACCCAGCGGTGAATAACCACTGAAATCTCTGGGAAATCATGGGGATAGAACGGGAATTTCCATGGAACGGAAGTCAAACTGGGTGAACTATTTCACGACGTCGCGGCTTCACGGCATGTCTTTTCAGGCGAACGGTGACTTGGAGGCCACCAGCAGCTCTGTAAAACCAACCAGCAGGAGTGTAGTCAAAGGAAGTTGGGAAGCAATACTTCCGAGTTACGAATGACTTTTATTTTACTTGATGGAATTGACTATGATGAAGGGTGGTACGTGATCTAACAATACATAACATAACAATACCTAACAAAAGAAATACATAACAAGAGAATAAGAAGCTATGGAATTGACCTTGATGAAGGGTGGTACATCACATCACAATACATAACATAAGAAATACATAACAAAAGAATAAGAAGCTATGGAATTTACCTTGATGAAGGGTGGTGCATCACATAACAATACATAACATAACAATACATAACAAAAGAATAAGGAGCTATGAGACAGGGTGGTGACGAAGGGAAGTGGTGACGAAGGGAAGTGGTGAGGAAGGGAAGTGATGAGGAAGGGAAAGAAGTGATGAGGAAGGGAAGTGGTGACGAAGGGAAGCGGTGATGAAGGGAAGTGATGAGGAAGGGAAGTGGTGAGGAAGGGAAGTGGTGACGAAGGGAAGCGGTGATGAAGGGAAGTGGTGAGGAAGGGAAGTGGTGAGGAAGGGAAGTGGTGAGGAAGGGAAGTGGTGACGAAGGGAAGTGGTGACGAAGGGAAGTGATGAGGAAGGGAAGTGATGAGGAAGGGAAGTGGTGACGAAGGGAAGTGGTGATGAAGGGAAGTGGTCACGAAGATAACATAACAATACATAACACAAGAATAAGAAGCTATGAGACTGGGTGGTGACGAAGGGAAGTGGTGAGGAAGGGAAGTGATGAGGAAGCGAAGTGATGAGGAAGGGAAGTGGTGACGAAGGGAGGTGGTGATGAAGGGAAGTGGTCAGGAAGGGAAGTGAGGTAGGGAAGTGGTGACGAAGGGAAGTGGTGAGGAAGGGGAGGAAACCGCAGCACGAAACCTTGTGTTTTTCCGTGTAAAGTGGCTGCAGCCGACGATGAAAGGTACCTCGTCTGTGCGGCGGGTGCGGCTGGGGTCGTTCCGGACGCGATCGTTTCCTCCTCTGTGTTCTGGAATGAGTGGTGGTGTCTTTGTGCTTAGTATTTGCGGTTCTTGAAGCTGTGGTTGCAGATCGCATTGTAATGGCTGCATGAATGTTGCATGGGCTTTGTTTTGGGGAGGAAACCGGAGCACGAAACCTTGTGTTTTTCCGTGTAAAGTGGCTGCAGCCGACGATGAAAGGTATACCTCGTCTGTGCGGCGGGGGCGGCTGGGGTCGTTCCGGACGCGATCGCTTCCTCCTCTGTGTTCTGCAATGAGTGGTTGTGTGTCTGTGTGCGTGGTTCTCTGCGTTTCTTGAAGCTGTGGTTGCAGATCGCATTGTAATGGCTGCATGAATGTTGCATGGGCTTTGTTTCGGGGAGGAAACCGCAGAACGAAACCTTGTGTTTTTCCGTGTAAAGTGGCTGCAGCCGACGCTGAAAGGTACCTCGTCTGTGCGGCGGGTGCGGCTGGGGTCGTTCCGGACGCGATCGGTTCCTCCCCTTTGTTCTGCAATGAGTGGTTGTGTCTGTGTGCGTGGTTCTCTGCGTTTCTTGAAGCTGTGGTTGCAGATCGCAACATGAATGTTGCATGGGCTATATTTCGGGGAGGAAACCGGAGCACGAAACCTTCTGTGTTTTTCCGTGTAAAGTGCTTGAGTCGGCTGTTTCCTTGCTAATAGGTTAGCAGGGTTAGCATAGTTAGCCCAGGCATTGCTAATGGCCAGCTAAGTACTTAGCTTCTTTTTGAAAATTGATAAAAACTTAATTTTTGAAGAAGCTAGAAAAGCATGTTGGCATGAAAAAAACAACAAAAATCATTCTGAATCTTTCAACATGTTCTGCCACAGCACATGCTTTGGAGCTGCTGGAAGAAGCCAAACTAACAATCTCTTTGGATTGAGATGGCATGTGTGGAATGTACCACTAGTAAGCTTCAGAAATTTATGAGGTGGAATTTCCTGCACAAGGCAAAAGCTGACACCTTGGCTCACAGAGACACATGGCTGCCAAGACAAGGTTAACAAGAATCCCAGTCTGTGCCAAAAAGGTTTCTGTGCTGTCTAAGACGATTTTGCAAGTGCTTTCTGTAGTAAGAAAGCAATAAAAGCTAGTTAGCAAAAGCACTGGGTGCTATTTGACCAAAGCACTGGGTGCTATTTGACAAAAGCACTGGGTGCTATTTGACAAAAACACATGGGTGCTATTTGGCAAAAGCACTGTGTGCTATTTGGCAAAAGCAGTGGGTGTTTTACAGCAAAAGCACTTGGTGCTATTTGTCAAAAGCATGGGTTCTATATGGAATGCAACAGGTGCCAAATGGCAAGCAAAGCACATGGGTGCTCTGTCTGTCATGGGTCCTGTGCTTGTCACAAGCATAGTGAGCTTTATTGTCAAGAGCATTGGGCACAAGCATTGGGTGCTCCCATTGTCAAAAACCTTGCATGAGTGCTATGTGGTGAGAAAAGCACTGGGTGCTATATGGTTGTTGCATTGGTTTCAATCAAGCAAGTGTCATGGTTAGTAAAAGCACCATGTGCTAATATGAAACCACATTGACAACACAAAGTGAAAAGCACCAAGTGCTTTGCATGGAAGCATTGGGTGCTGGCATAAGCAAGCAGCTTTGCTGTGCACATGCAAGAGCATGCAAGGAAACTCTTTTTTGGCATTAGCAGCAGTGTTTGCTTTGGTGCTTCAATCCATTTTAGTGGGCCTAAAAGCAAAAGGAATCAAGACTCTCAGCTTGTTTTGCTCTTTGGCAAAAATGAGAGAACAAAGCACCAATGATGTTGGAACGAAATGTAGGTTTGTTTGGTCTTCAACCAATGCTGAATGAGTGGCCCAAGTGTATTCCAGCACCTTGCAAGAGGACACCACAGAATAAATTTCTCCACTTACTTCAAAATGGTGCTCTACCTTGGCCACTTGCCATTTCCATTGGCTTTCATTTTGAATCAACACCATATCCTTTTGGCTTATGGTGCAACCTGAGGACAGCTTGGCTGCTGTGGCACTCCACACATAGCTCTTGGGAACTGATTGCTGGAACACAAATTCACACAAAAAATTGTACAGTTTGGCACTGGGTGCATGTTTTTTCAACAAGTGCACACCTTCCACAAAATGCTCTGATGTTTTGATGTCATGCAGATCTTGGCAAAGAGATTCTTCCAATAGGCTGAGGCTAAATGTGGTCAACTTCTTCATGTTTGTGGCGAACCTGGTCACAAGTTTGTGCTTTCTTTCCAAAGACCAACAGTTAGGAAGAAAGCCCCAAGTTTTCAGGTGGCTGGCCAAATGTAGCATCCAGTGATGCTTCCGCAGCATTTCGCCTTCATGGCCAGCCAGCTTGAAGGTGTGTAGTGCCTTTTCCACTCCTAGCTGAAGCTGTACTGGAGTAACCACACCATATTGGATTGCTTGGAGCATGTCCAAAACTGTGGCCATTTCCAAAAAGCTTTGGCACTCTTCCTTGTGGATGCCCAATGGCAAAATAGTGCTGGCAACCATATATGCCAACAAAGTGGTCAAGCCCAGGGCTTCACTGGCTGTGCACTTGAACTTCTGGTTCTCTTTGTAGAATTTGATTCTCTTTTCAGAAAACAAATCATGCAGCTTGCCTGCTTTGGCAATTGCAATGGGCAATGTCCACAATTGGAGGAAACTTGGCACCATGTCCCAAATCCCCACAGTGGACAGCAGCAGCCAAATGGATCTTTGCATCACCCCTTGGGATGCCATAGTGTGCATCCAATCATGGATGTAGCCAGAAACTGGGCTCAACAGGTTGGCATTCAGCAGGGCCTACCAGCAGTTCATAGGAAGTGAAACATCAAATTTGAAAACAAGAGGCACTCAACAGCACAATTGACCAAAGCATTGCATGCTATTTGTCTTTGAATTTCCAGATGGTGTGGTTCTGGCCTGGTTCAAGAGCAAGCAGTGGGCATTGAAAGAAATACCTGCTGCTTGTTGGTATATGGTAAAATTGTCTTTGCTCATGGTGGCAGCCTTGGCCTTGCATGCTTGGAAGGCATCCAAAACTTCTCTGTCTGTGGCCAGCTCACATGCAGCCAGTTGGGACACTGTGGGCCCCAGGATGTCTTCCTCTGAAACTTCACTGGTATCAGAGTCCATGGGCATGGCTCTAATATTGTTGCACAACATGCAGAATTTGTCTCCAGAGTCCCCTTTTGTGGAAAAAGTTAGCTTCATGGATAATCCATCCTGGAGCCACCCACCCATGGTAAAAAACAATTTGAGGTCTTGGGCAGAATCAGACAGGTGTGGCAAGCACAAGCCAGTCCTGGGATCAGCCACAGGGCTGCAGAAGATTGATTCCAGAATCTTGGCAAAGACTTGGCCTATGCTTGCTTGAATGTCTGCAACTTCTGGGCTCCTCAGCATGGCCACAATGAACCATGCATCTTCACAACTCAGCAAGCTGTGGAATTCAGCAAAGGAAGCATAGATTGCATGGGTTTTTCTTTCTTGCCTGTGGGCCAAGCTGTTGCCTGGCACAACTTCATCTGCATACAGTAGTAGCCTCCATGGTGTGGTATAAGAGCTAGGTCTTTGCCCATGGACTCTTTGGAGCATGGCAGCCCATGCACCCCCTTGTCTGTAGGCACCAGCCAGCAAGGACAAAGCATTGGCTATCCAGATTGGCTTTGTGTTGCCATCTACAGTGACCACCTGGACTTGCATTAAAAGCTTCCCATAAGCATCCATGCTGGACAAATAATGCCTGGTGGCTTCTTTCATTGCCTTGGAATGGCTGACTTCTGGCACACCCTCCTCCTTTACCTTTTTGAGCAAGGCTTCTAAGGCTGCTTGGCTGACATATGGGCAGCTTCTTCTCAAAGAATCAATTTTCTGCAATTTGGTTGCCCTGCTGCTGGAAGAGGAAGCCATTGCAATGGGCTGGAAGTTTGACTGCAAGAATATTTGGTAAAGAATGGATACAAATATTGGTTCTTCAGAACAACCTAGATTCAACCAAGTTATGTTAACATTTCAAAAGGTATGGTTGAGCTGCCTTCAAAGGAAAAGTGCAAGAGGCTCTGACTGAAACCAAGCTCTGCAACACCAAAAGCAAAACTTCTTCACACCAAAAGCATTAGATGCTATGGCTGGTGCTACTTGACATGCAACCATGCTAAAGCACTCAGTGCTGTTCATTTCTGGGCTGCCTGCAAGCTTTTTTTCCAAGCAGCTCTTTGGTGGAATGCTAAAGCATCCTTGCCCAGGTAAGATGGCACATGTTTGTACATGTGGTGCAACCCCTACAGCAGCTTCAGAACCAGGGAAGCAAAATGCACATTGCCTTTTATATTTTAAGCAGATTGCTTTCCTAAAACTTTGCTTCTCTGATTCTGAATTGGCTGTTCCCCTAAGCTTTCTTGCTCATCTTGTGGTCCTTGTAAGCCTTGGCCCCACAAAGGCGAACTCCTTGGAAATTTGGGTTTCTGCAAGTGCTGCACCCATTGGGGTTGCCATAGCACCTGCCACACCCAAAGCCTTTCCCCTTCTTACAAGTGGCATTGGTCTTGGAGCTGGAAGCTGGTGCCTTGCAAGAGCTGGGCTTGCTGGCAGCTGGCCTCTTCAGAGGTGCACCCTTCCTCTTTTTCGCTTGCAACTTGTCAAAAGCTAGCTGGGTCCAGTGGTCCAAACCTTGGCTCTCTTTCTTGGCTTTTTCCACTTGGGTACTCTGAACCTCAAGTGAGCTTGTCTGCTGTGGTTCTGCTGGCTTTGAAGCATTGCCTGGCATTGGCTGAGCTTGGCTAGGTGCCATTGCACTGGGCACACCAGTGGCTGCTGCACCTGCAGTTGGCTGCTGGTCTTGCAGAGGCAATGGTGTAACTGTGGCAGTGCTTTCTTGCTTCTGGAACACCTGCTGGGTTCTTTGCTGCCAAGCTTGCATGCTGGAGGCAAAAGAGCTTTCGCCTTGCTGCTGACTGGTGCTTCCTGCTACCAAGTGGTCATCAACGCCATGACTGCGGGAGCGCAAGCCGATGCTATTCTCGGCTTCGAACTTCACCCTGACAAATTGGCTAGCTTCGCCACCAAACCGCATCTGGTTGCCAAGGTGCGCAAGAAGAAAGATTTAGTAGGTGTACCTGCGGATACTTTCACACTGCTTGGCATTCAATACAATTTGTCACGCCCCAGTTCTTGTGTTGATGCGGATATTGTCAGTGACAACATTCAGCGACGGTGTCTCAAAATTCGTTTGGCAGCACAGCACTTAGGCACTCGCATTGCATTGGTGCATAAGTTGGTGATATCTTTATTTGCTTGGTCCGGTGCTTTTCATCACTTCAGTGCAAGAACCATTCGAACATGGACATCTATGATCGAAACTGCACTTTGGGGTCGAAGGGCTCCTCCAGGTAGGAGCCGGCTGCTCTTTTGGAATTCTTTGGGTTCTGCAAGACTACATCCGATGTTTGCGCTCCAGTTCACCGCCGCCCGGGCGGAATGGAATCGGCAATGCCGCCGTGCCCAAGGGTTGCCTGCAGCTACCTCGCCTGCTCCTCGCTGGAAAGCAGTGCTCAAAGATTGGAAATGGCGACTTGACGATGGCCTGTGGCACACGCCTGCTGGGATTTTGAAACCTGGGTGGATGTCTTTGAAAAGCTTGCAAAAAGCCGCTATCCATTCATGGCTCGTTGGTTTGTGGACTAAAGACACCAAAACGGATGGTCGATGGCCAAACGGCAAGGAGCCGGTTTTCCTTTTTCAGGCAAATGCAGCTTTAGGCATGGATTACTACAGTCGCAGGGTTTTGACTGGTGCTGCAGTGGATGGCAGGGTCACAGAGCGCTTTGGTTCTGCTTTGAGTTGTGAATGTGGATTGCGGTCTCCTGATCGAGAACATCTCACTTTTCACTGCCAAGCGCAGCCATGGGATGGTGAGTTCAGGAGCGCTACTGAACGTCGTTTGCTGGTTCCACTTGTGGATGCTCCTCCTGTGTTGCCTTTTTCCAACATGGTAGCAGATCCTGCTTTGGTTACTTTTATTCAGCAATTCGATCCTCTTCAGCGACCCACCTTGGGTTTGGACGGCAGTTGTATCATAGCTACTTCCTGTGATCGATGGCAAAGAGCTAGCTGGGCGGTTTCGACACTTTCAGGCACCACTGTTCAAGGTGCCGTGACTGGTTTTGAGCAAACACCTGCTGCAGGTGAGCGTGCTGCTCTTCTGCAAGCTTGTTTAGCCTCTTCTGCAGCTAACAGACCGGTGATGCTCTTGATTGACAATCAGGCTTTGGTGCGGCGGCTTCAGCGAGGCATTAGCACTGGCCGTTGGGAGGGTGACTTGCCGCTTTTCTGGCAGCGGATCAGCGGCTTATTGATTCAGGGCACTGTTTGCATTTGGATCCCTTCTCACAACAAGGTGCCTGACTGGACACCACCAGATGGTTGGATTGATGTTCATCTCTGCCGCGTTCTCAATGCGACAGCCGATGCTCAGGCAGGTGAGGTGTTGCGTGACTCACGCTCCATGATCGCTGCGGCTGTGCAGCGACATCAGCGAGCCGTGGCTTGGGCTGCAGCAGTTTGGCGTCTGCAGCGGCTACGGACTTTACCTTTTTGGCAAGTCGTACTTGATCAACAAACATTCCTTGCGGAATGCTAGCTGGCGCACTGTGTTTACTTCTTTTTTCAGGCAGGTTTCGCTTCTTTTGTGTTTTGCTTGGAGAAGTATGGGAACTTGATTCTCGCAGATGGCATACTATGGCGTCTTAACTACTTCACTTCGGTGAGGAGCAGGTTGACGTCCGCTTACAACAACAACAACAACAACTTCCTGCTACCTGGGCCAATGGTGTTGGGACCATTGGTGCATTTGCTGGTGCAGGTGTTGAAGCATGCTGTTTCATCCCTTGGCTGTGTTGCCTGCAGCTGGGGTCATAAATGCTTCCCTTCAAGAGCTTGGATGTAGACCTCACTGGAATGTGGTGGGCAAGCAGCAATGGCATCCTTTCCAAGAACCTGGGAGCTGGCTCTTCATCACCATAAACCAATTGGAGGACATCTTTCCCCAAGGAGCATGGTGTGTCAGGGTACCTTTGCAAACTGGGCACTCCAAGTGGTGTTTGGGTGCAGGAAGCAGTGTGCTGCTGCAAGATGTGCAAGACCAGCTCATAGATGGCCACATAAGGTGGCATGGTAGACACCTTCTCCAAATGGATGCACAGCAGGATTGCAGCAACCACTCTTTTGGTGCTTTCCTTCAAGCTGTGCACACCCAATTTCTTCAATCTGGAAGAAATGGTAATGGCCCCCTCATACATGGAGCTGGCTTGGAGCTTCTGCCAATCAGCTTCTGTCAGGTAATTGGCTAGCCCATCAATTTGCTGTGGCTGCAAAGTGGTCTTGGCAGCACTGTTCCCACCCAAAAGCTGTGCTTCCACTGCTTCCACAAGTGTGGCCTTCATGTCTGGTGGTAAAGTGGAACCCTTCACCTTGTCAAACAACATGACAGCATCTGAGCTGGTGAGGCCCTGCATGTTCTGCAGCTTGTGGGCCAACTGTTGGGTCAAACCATTCTGGAGCTTGGAAGATTCAGACATGGAAGCCAGAAGCTTCTCATTGGCAACAATTTCTGCTGCCACTGTGCTGGCTGTGAACATGGCCCAACTTTCTCTTGAAGCTACAGTCAAAAGCTTCTAAAGCAAAGAACCACAACTGCAACAAACAATCACTTCCAGAATTGTTGCAGGCACATACCATATTGTTTGCAATAATCTAGCTTTGCTGGCTGCAAAGCGAAAATGTGTCTAAATCCAACCAACACTAGAGTGGTTTCTGATCATGGATTGGAAGAACAAAGAACCATGCATGGTGTGACACACAAACATATCCCATCCCAGGTTTCTTTGTTTCAGTACACTGATGGCAGTTCAAAAAATGCCATTGCAATAGCACTAGAACGAAAAAACATTTCATCTACAAAACAGCATGGTCATTTTGTGTTTTATCATGAAAACAATCTAAGCATGTTGAAAAGGAAACAAATCATAGACAGTAATGAGGTGAACAAATTAAAGACTTATGGTAAAAAAATACTTGAAGCACAAAGTGCTATCCAAACAGGAAATGCTAGCACTGACTGACAGGGCTGTAAAGCACTAAGTGCTATGCAAAAAGCACTGAGTGCTATGCTCCACAACATTCAAATCAACACATGTGTTTCCAACCTCTTTGGCTGACACTTTGGCTTCTTTGGCATGTGGCTATGGTGGGTCTGCCATCACATTGGTGGTCCTGGGAATGGCAAAAGGCATGTCCTTTGGCAATGTTTGATTTGGCTGTAACTTTCAGCTTTGTTTTAAACAAAGTGTTTTTACAAAAATGATGCATTGCATACAAATGTCAGGCTAAGTGTCTGACAGCAAAACCAAAAAGTCACCATCCTTGAGGCAGTCCCAGATGGGTGCCTGTATCTCAGCATTCTGGACAATCTTCGCCTGGTGATCCTCCACTGCAAAAAAAAATACAAAATGTACAAAGCACTTTGGGTACAAGACAAGGTGAAAGCACAAATGGTGGAAAGAACCAAAAAGATTACATATCCATTACAAAGCACAAAGTGCTATGCAACATCCAAAAAGAAACAAACAAAGGGGACCACATGGCTGGTATGATCATTCCAGTCCTTGTGGTGTGGATCTGGCCCCATTGGTCCTCATAGACTGCCTCTCTGTACTCTCCATGGTCAGTCCACCTGGATCCCTTGTACCATGATGGCTTGGTCTGGGATGGCAGCCGGTACCTGGGCATGGCATTACAAAACAATTTGAAGACTACAATTTGGTTTCCACTTGTTTGGTTTTGACTGATACTCAGTCTGAATGCATTCAAGATACCACTGCATCCAGCCATTGTCAAAAAATATGGTGAACCAG